TATATAACATGGTAAGTAGCATCTAAAGAAAGTTATAAAATTTGTTCATCACGAAGTTGAGATAGTCCCCTAGGAAATTGCATTTATCACAGAGGAGTCACAGTTGAGATGTTTGAGAAAACAATATCAGAGATGTCATCAAGTTTTCCAAACATAAAATGGAAGGATATGAGATCTATAGACTGAGAAGCTTGAATTCAAAGCACGGTTAAATTCTGGAATACAAAATTAAGCAGATGGCTTGTGATCATTTAGTAAAGACAATAGTGTTTGCTAGGAGCTAACATGGGTTTACTAAGAACAAATCTTCCTGAACATCCCATTTCCATTTTAAATAGTCTTATGTGATGTGTAGAGCTGAGGAAAGCCACTTCAGCAAAACATATAATTGATTCCTTATGGATAGGATGGTAAAATATGGGCTGGATAATGGCCTGTTGGATTTGCCACTAAAGCAATCAAAGCCAGCTGATTGATGTCAGTTATCTTGTTGGGGGTCTCTGGTAGAATACCATGGAGATCTTTCATATAACCTTCCCACTTATAATTTTAATTAGGAATTTGGAGGGACATATATGGGATGGATATGTACCAAATATGCAGATGGCCCAACATTGGGAGGGAAATAAGTACAATAAATGAATGGCTAAAGATTCACCATACTCTTCACCATACTGCTGGACACCTGGTATACTACATGGGACCCAAAAGGATTGAATATAACAGTGCTGATGGTGAAAACTTTAAAGCTCTAAAGTCTGAGTCAGAAAGCAAATCTTGGTTAGGAGCTCAAGGAAAAATGATCTTATTCATTTATTTAACAAATAGGTATCAAATAAATACACTATCTGCTATGCCCTTTTCTGGCTATATTTCCATTGGGATCAGTCCTTTCCATTCTGAATATAACATAGTCTGAACAAAGGAGTGACAATAGGTCTGAGGGGGAGGATCAACCATATTGCAAGATGGGTCAATGATAAGGAGAGTCAGAGGAGCGATTATAACCCTCAAATATTTGCAGAAAGACAATATAAACTTATTCTTTGTTGCTTCTAAGAGTAACTACTAATTACCAGGAAGTCAATTTCTGGTGAATATGAGACAGTCTTCTAGCTGTCACCTGTGTGAGCTCATGGAGGCTAATACTGTCTCCCTTTATGTTTTGGCCACCTAGATTCATAACATATGGGACTGTACCTGGCTCCTGGTGGGCACCCAATGCATATTTGTTGAATGAATAATGAAATGAGGGAATTCAGCCAGGGTAAAGTATTTCTGTAGGATAGATTCTGCCCCAGTCTTAGAAATGTATGAATGTTCATGTGGCATTTTGTTAAGACAATATATGTACTAAAATAATTTTTAAATTTTAAGTTCTGTTTTTGTATACCATAAAGGGTCCTGAGTGTGGAACAAGATAACTGAAAACAGATGTGAGAGGTTAGAATGTTTTCTTAAAAAAACAAAATCAAAATATATATGTTGTAGACAGACATAACACCTTTATTTTATTTATTTATTTTTATGTGATATTGAAGATCAAACCAGTGACTCATATGTGCTAGGCAAGTTCTCTACCACTGAGCTATAACCCTGGCCCTAGAATGCTTTCTTTTGCCATGTTCTAACACCTCCAAGCTAATTAAAACACTTTTCTTAAAAAACAGTTTAGAGGCCATTTTAGCATTTATTTGAAATTTCTCAAGTGTGCTTCCTTAAATGTTACCCATCCTGGCTCAAGCCCTGTTATTCTCCTGAGACCTTCTCCATAATACTGACCTATGAGGACTCTGCTTTCTCTGACCTTAAAGGCAATTCTGCAGAACTCAGCATTAATCCTTTTCTCATTGCTTCCTGCTTCTCTCCGTCTGGATGATAATCTTTTTGAAGGCAAAACCTTATTTTATAATTTTCTTGTGTGCTGCCAGACACGAAACAGAAACTCAGTGATTGCTTGATTGCCTGATTGATTGATACATGAGTTAGAGAGATACATAGTAAGATAGCAACTTTGTAACCAGTGCAAGACTGCTATGAGATGGTCCCTTCTATCTGTAATTCCTCTCTGGAATGCTCTCATGGATTAAAATTAATTTCAAGGTAGCACTCACATAAGTCCTGTCAGGTTGAATAGGCTTGGCTTTATCTATCCTGTGCATCCCATGAGGGGATTGTGGCCTGATTTTGTTAGTCTGCTATTTTGGCTAGGCAGGAGTCGAAGCAGGAGGATCTCGAGTTCAAAGCCAGCCTCAGCAAAAGTGAGGTGTTAAGCGACTCAGCAAGACCCTGTCTCTAAATAAAACACAAAATAGGGCTGGGCATGTGGCTCAGTGATTGAGTGCCTCAGCTCAATCCCCAATACCCTCCCCCCCACACACACACAAAAATATAGACAGGTGGTTAGTGCACAGTTGGTTATGTGGAGGTGAATCTGTATTAACTATTCAACGGCTGAACTCTGGGTTTCAAATAGCCACCTTCTTGACTCAACCTCCAAGAAGAGCCAGAGTTGCAGGTGCCAATCTCTAGCCCAGTTTAGAGGATCACTGAGGGCCTTGTGTAACTAGGGTGATCAGATTCAGTGCATGAAAATAGAGGATGCCCTGATACATTTGAAATTCAGGTAAAAACAATGCAATATTTGGGACAGGCTTATACTAAAAATATTTGTTGTTTATTTAGAATTCAAATGTAACTACGTGATCTGTATTTTATCTAGCAATCCTCTGTGTAATCCCATTCCTCCCGATTTCTGAAAATATACTCTTAATTAGCTCCCAAATTAATTTGACTGAATAAAAGTACTTGTGCCCATGTGACAATTCTCATGGCAGATATTTTAAATTTCCAAAAAAGGGAAAATCCACATGATGTGTTTTATCTTTTGTGGTCATATTCTTTCGAGTATATCTGATAATGGTAATGCCACAAATGTCTAGGATCTTGGTGGTCCCCAATTAAGCTCTCTTGGTTTCCTTAGTGACAGTTTATTTGATATATTGCCATAATTCATTGCTGATAGCATTTTACTCAGGTCATACAGTAACTACCACTGATAAATAAAGAACTATGTGCTCTGCATGGCAATCAGATGAAATGTGAATTTAGTGTAATTATTTCATCTCCTACAAAACAACTGCATTAATTAATAAGAAATCAAAGCAACGCATTGCCACTTTTAGTTCATTATCTTGTTCTCTTCTTTCAACTCAAAGGCAAGCTAATATGTGTATTTTAAAAATATTTTTTTAGTTGTAGATGGACACAATATCTTTATTATTTAATTTTATGTAGTCCTGAGGATCAAACCCAGGGCCTCACACCTGCGAGGCAAATGCTCTACCACTGAGCTACAGCCCCAGCCCCATATGAGTGTTTTTTTTTTATTCTAGTTTATAAACTTTTTTTTCAGAGTAAGACATCTCACACTTGGGAAAACTGCTTCCATTTTCTGTGATGAGATACCTAATGTTGTTCCTTGCTATTTAGTGGCAACAACCTTTAAACATCATTTGTTCATTCTGTAAATGTTGATTAAGCAGGTCTGTGCTAGGTGCAAAGGGGAAACAGCCTGAATAATGAATGTAGTCTCTGCTTTCAAGGGGCTCATGAGATTCTGTGTGTTATGTGCTTGATTTTAAATGGTTCAGCAGTCATTTCAGTGATGGGCTGGTTCATGGTTAGAACTCATTAGCTCAGTGGGTAATGAAATGATTCTTCTCTCAAATGCATTAAATAAATATAGCACTTTATGTTCTGAGTAGAAACTACTCTTGATGCATAGTAAACCAGTACCATACAAAACCATATTTTGTATGGTACTGGTCTACTTCACCTGGGAACTGAATTGACATGTGGTGGTGTGGTAAACCTGAACCTCAATGGAAGGATCAAGCTGGTTTTCTTTTGCCTACACTGGATCTATGAACCTGACCTTGAAACTGTTCCCTGGAACACAGAGGCTATCATGGGAGATGGATATGCATACAATTGACAGTTCAAAATGGTCTCTGATGGATGGCATTTTTCTAGGGGATAGGATTAAGGCTCTTTCCTTCTCTGGGGTTGCTTCAGGTAGGACTTTGCTGTTTAGAGGGTGGTCCTCAGTCCGGCAGCATCCTCACCTGCATCTCTGGGGGGAACTGGTGAGAAATGCAAATGCCAAGGCCCCACCCTAGACCCACTAAATCAGTATCTACATTGTAACCCACAAGACGCTCCTTGGTACACTGAAGTTTGAGTAGTATTGGTCTAATACAGTATTTTCAAGCTTTATTTTGTGTATACATGTGGTCCGAGGATCTTATTAAAACAGATTTCTGGGCTATACCTTCGGAGATTCTGATTCTGTGTCACCCAGGTGGGACTGACAATTTGGATTTCTACCCAGTTCCCAGGAGATTCTGGGACTGCTAGTTGGCAACCATATTTTGTATGGTACTGGTCTACTTCACCTGGGAACTGAATTGACATGTGGTAGTGTGGTAAACATGAACCCCAATGAAAGGGTCAAGCTGGTTTTCTTTTGCCTACATTGGATCCATGAACCTGACCTTGAAACTGTTCCCTGGAACACATAGGCTTTTAAGGGAGATGGATATGCATACAATTGACAGTTCAAACTGGTCTGTGATGGATGGCATTGTGAGACAGCAGAAGATGGAGCAGTTAGATTCCACGGTGAGGAGCTCAGCCATTTAAGCTGGGCCCTGCAAGATAATAGGGTGTTGAGATATTTGGCCTATGGCGATACGCAGGGAGCAGGAATAGTTAAATTATTGCTAAACTTTAGTGTCTAGAGACTCAGGAATGAAGAGGAGCAGAGATTAAAGGAGGACTGTTGAGAGAAAGAGTCTGAAAAAAAGTTTGGGGACAAGTCTTACATGTGACGTTCAGGACTTTGATTCTGTCTTAGAACTTTTTGCTATAATGACATCTGTGTTTAAAAGATTTCATGTCCAATTGTACTTACTAGGGTGCTTTCTTTTTTCTTCCAGGATTAAGCATGAAAACATAGTTGCCCTGGAAGACATTTATGAAAGCCCAAATCACCTGTACTTGGTCATGCAGCTGTAAGTACCTTGTTTAATTGATGATTGCAAACAGGATTGTAAACACCAGTGTTGAAATAAATGGATGCAGTGGACTGGGAGAGACAGGAGGGAGTGGTGGGGCACCAGAGAAGCCTGGACATGTCTGGAGGCTGTGTTCTGCACATGGAGGTCCACCGGCCTCCCTGGGACTAAACTGCCTCTGCTAGGTTAGAGTAGAGACCCTGCTGCATTGTCCCATGTTACCATTGCTGGGTGTCTCCGTTGCTTTCTAATGTGCCAGGTCCAAGAGCTGCTGCCTGAAGACACTCCACTGTGGGGTACACCTTGCTCCTATCTCTAGGAAACTCCCACCCAGGGATGCTGGGGGAGGGACGCAGATGGCAGCTGTGTACTCTGTCCCCTCCCTCAAATTAGGGCACTATTGCCCACATTAGATTACCTCTGCATTCCAGGAAAACTGGAGATGACAAGAAGGGAGGAAGTAATCAACAGAACATTCAGATAGAAACTTTACTTGAACGTGTATTTTTTTTTTAATTTAAGATGAAACTGGCCTCTCCACTCACATAAACACTTTAAGTGTTATGATCTGGAACTATCCAGGGACATTTACTAGAATTAAGTGATGGAAAGTGCAACAGGATATTGTGCTTGAGCCAGGATGTGAGAAAATAAATTTTGGAACACTGCCTTATTGAGCTCTATGACTGAAGAGGATTTTTGATGAAGATCAAAATATATACTGAATTTCATTGATTTATTAATTGAATTGCCAAAGGTACACAGAAGAATTGATGTGAAGCTGACAGTTTTTAGTTTGCATGTATTCTTCTCTTCCTTATGAATGTTTAAACAACATGTTAAGTTGGGATCATGTTGGGATACAAGTGCTCATTGCCGCATTATTTTATTACTATTATTTGGGTGGTGCTGGGGATTGAACCCAGGACCTAGCACATGCTAGGTAAGTGCTTTACCACTAAGCTACACCCGCCAGCCCTTTTATTTATTTTATTTAGTTTTTGGTACTGGAGTTCGAACTCGGGGGTGTTTTACCACTGAGCTACATCCTCAATCCTTTTTGTTTTGAGGCAAGTTCTCCCCAAGTTGCTTAAAGCCTTGCTAAATTACCGAGACTAGCCTTGAATTTGTAATCTGTCTGCCTCATCCTCCAGAGTAGCTGAGATTACCAGTGTGTGCCACTATGCCCAACTTCTTTCTATTTTATTTTTAAATTTTGAGACATGATTTCACTAAGTTAGTTACCCAAGATGGCCTTGAACATTCAATCTTCCTGCCTCAGCCTCCCCAGTCACTGGGATTATGGGCCTGTGCCACCACACCCAGTTTATCACTCCATTTATTATCTGCAAAATATTTCAGTAGATTATGACATTTTGTGGAAATATTTTTAAAATGTCCAATTGGGAATCATATGCCTGATTTTTCTCTGGAGACTATTAAGCAGTTAAGTGATGGGTTCAATGTTAACCCTCTTATTACCTAAGTATAATTTTTCCTAATCCCATGTTTTCTGTTTTATGATTTGCCATATTTCTGTTTTTTCCTCAGAGCAATTCCCAAATTTGGGAACACATCCTGGAAGCTCATATGACTTTATTTTATTATAGAGTCTACTCTTTAAAGATTCAAGTGAGCTGGTCATGGTGGTGCTTGCCTGTAATTTAATTTTATGAGATCAAGTCCAGGAGACTGAGGTAGGAGGTTTACAAGTTTGAGGCCAGCCTGGACAACTTAGGGAGACCCTGTCTCAAAATAAAAGGGCTGGGGTAGAACACCATTGTCAATCCCTAACACCTTAAAAATACACACACACACACACACACACACACACACACACACACCCCACCTATAAAGAAGAATATGACATTTCAATAATAAGCAAAAATGCCACAAAATCTGTGTATTTAAGTGTGTACTTTTTATATTGGTAATGCATAAAGTACTAATACTTGAATCCAAAGTTAAATATATTTTCTTGCTTTACTTTTGAGTATATGGAAATATACTGAATATCAGTTAAAATACCCCAAATACAAAAATCTCAGTTCTGCCTCTCACTAACTAGGTGAATTTGGGCAAATGGCTGGGGTCTCTCTGCATACCAGTTTCCATCATGGGAAAAAGTGGAGATAATAATAATATTTACATTAGAGAACTGTAGTGAGTAGTGAATGTGAAAATGTGTGGAAAACTGTCACAAAGAGTAGGTCCTCAGCACATGCTGGTTTCTTTATGGACATCTGTATCATGTTGTCCGGATGTCTCTGCAGATGGTCTTTAATTTTATGAGATCAGGTCCAAGTAGATTTAAATTTGCCTGTCTAAGCAACTTGGTCGTACGCTTACCAGCAGAAGCGTATGTAAAGAAGCAGCCCACGAGAGCATCAGAGTGTGTGGAATGTAGCCAACCTTAGCTCAAAGCTTGGAAACCGTATTGGTGGCACAGCTGTCCCCACCCCCACCTCCTGAATTTCTACCAAGAACATCATCATCCCTCTTTTGGAGTTAGAGAAGACCTGGTTAATATGAACCACACTCAGAATTTGTGGGAATCCAGAGAGCAGTTAGGCTGGAACTAAGGTTTGGTGGGCACTGGATGAGATTTGTTAGGTAAATCAATCACAAAATCCTGACCTAGCAGCAATGAATGTTTGAACCACCTAAGGGAAAAAAAATGTATATACACAAATAAGCAACTAGAAACACTATTTACACAAACACTGGATATGCTCATTACAAAATGTTAACTTGTATTAATGCATATTTCTTTGGTTTCCACTACTTTTTAAAAGATCAGCTTTATACAGGTATAATTCACATTCAATATTCTGCATCCATTTAAATTGGACAGTTCAGGAATGAAGAGATAAACTCAGGTTCATAAACCCACTATCATAATCAAGATACAGAAGATTTCTGTTACCTCCAAAAGATTGCTTTTGGTTTTTGAAGTTTTTCTTCCTTTGCCATAATCCAATCAGTGACCACCTTCCACTCACTAGAAATGACTAGAAATCGAGTCCTATAGTATGTCCCTGTTTGTGTCTGGCTTATTTCACTCATGATTTTGACAGTCATTTGTGTAGCATGTCCGTGGTACCTCATTCCTTTTTATCACTGAGTTATATTCTGGTATAGATACTTCCTCTTTTATTCACTTTTCTAAAGTAGCCATTTGGATGGTTTTCAGTTTGGGGACTATTATGAATAAAGCCGCTATGAACATTCATGCACAAATTTTTATGTTGTGGATGTATGTTTGGGCAGAATGGGTGGGTTACAAGGTAAGTATTGTGTTTACCATTTTAAGAAATGCCAACTTTTGTTTTTTGGCAAGAGGTGTATGTAGATTTCTATTGCTTACATTATTGCTAACTTTTGAAGTTTTTAGTGTTCTATTTTATCCATTTTGATGGGTGTGTCATGGTATCTCAGAATCTCAGAATGGTTTTAATTTGTCTTTCCCTGGTGATTAATTATGATGATTAGCTTTTTATGCCTTGATTGATCATTTGTACATCTTTTTTTTTAAGAGAGAGAGAGAGAATTTTTTAATATTTATTTTTTAGTTTTCGGCGGGCACAACATCTTTGTTTGTATGTGGTGCTGAGGATCGAACCCGGGCCACACGCATGCCAGGCGAGCACGCTACCGCTTGAGCCACATCCCCAGCCCTGTACATCTTTTTAAATAGAAAATTATTTCAAAACTTTCCCCCAGTCTCTATTGGATTATCATTTATTATTGGGCTTTAGGTGTTCTTTGTATATTCTATCCTTTGTCAGATATATGTAATATAAATGTTTTCTCCCGTTTTGTAGCTTGCTTGGAATCATACAATATACCATCTTTTGTGACCTGCTTCTTTGAATTAACTTAAATATTTTCAAGGTTCATCCGTGTAGCATATATCAGGGCTATATTCCTTTTTATTGCCAAATAATATCTCATTATATAGATACACTGCATTTTATGTATCAGCTCATTGGTTAGTAAAGATTTAGTTTATTTGACTGTTAGAAATAATGATGTGAGGCCTGTTTGTATACAGATTTTCATTTCCTTTGGGCACATGCTTAGGTATGGAATTGCTGGATTAAATGATAAATATGTGTTTAACATTTTAAGGGCTATTTTCCAAAATGACTGTCCTGTTTTACAAGTCCTGGGCCTTGGATGAGGATCCGACTTTCTCCAGCCACACCAGACTTGCTATTATCTGTCTTTGATGTTAGCCATCTATGGGTGTGAACTAGTACCTCTTGGTTTGATTTAACTAGTGCCTACTGTTTTTTGTGTGTGCTTATTGGCTGCTAGTGTGCCTTTCTTGCAGAAATACCTATTCAGATTCCTTATCCATTTTTAAATTAAGTAACTTTTTATTGTTGTGTTCTAAGACTTCTTCAAAGTGTCTCTTATTCTTTGAGTTGTCTTTTTACTTTTTGATAGTATCATTTGCAGCACCAAAATTTTTAATTTTGGGGGCTGGGGATGTGGCTCAAGTGGTAGCGCGCTCGCCTGGCATGCGTGCGGCCCGGGTTCGATTCTCAGCAGCACCACATACCAACAAAGATGTTGTGTCCGCCGAGAACTAAAAAATTAATATTAAAAATTCTCTCTCTCTCTCTCTCTCTCTCTCCTCTCTCACTCTCTCTTTAAAAAAAAATTTAATTTTGATATTATCTATTTTTTCTTTCATTGCTTATGCTCTTTGCTGTCATATCTAAGAAACTGTTGCCTTAATGGTACCTTTTGAATAGGGAAAGTTTTAGTCGTGATAATGTTCAATTTGTTTTTTCTAATGATTTCTTTTTTGTGTCTGTATGAGGTCTTTACCTAACCCAAGTTACAAATTTTGTTTCTTTTAGAAAGTTTAGAGTTTTAACTTTTCCACTTAGATATATTACAAAATATTTCTGGTTTATTTTTATGGTGAGATAAGGATGATGTTGATTTTCGTTTTTTCTGTAGGGAGGTCCAATTTTTAGGGTTAT